TAAGAATTTCTATAAATTGAAGAGGTTTAGAGTTTTGGATATTCATTTTTAAATTTGTTACCCACTAAGTTGTTTAATTTTAATTTTTAATTTTGGTTTTTAATTTTTAATTTTAATTGTTTGAATTTTGAAAACCAAAACCAAAACCAAAAACTACCACAACTATACTTAACATACCTAAATAACTTAATCTTTTTTTTTTTTTTTGATGAAACCTAATTTTTTATTTTATTTATTATAAAAATGATGATGAATTTGTGAATTGTCTATAATACCACCTTTCCTTCCTTTCTGGTTTAACTATTTTTTTATGGTTGCCAATTCAACTAATTGATATAATTTGTTTGGTACAATTCTAAAAAAAGCAGTGATATAGGGATAACCTTTTATGTCACATTTTTATATAATTTTCATGTGTCATTAAATGAATGAATGCATTAAATATCATGGTTCCAAATGAATAAAAAGCGTTAATCATTTAAATGACATGTCAAGTTGTATCAAAAGGTGGTACAAAAAGGTTATCTCAAAATTATTTTCCTTTTAAAAAACAATAATGCAACTTTTTTATAATAGGCCACATAAATATCACGTAATTAAAATAAAAAATTAATTGTTAGTTATAGGTTTTACAAAATTGCCACATCATCAAAACGAATAAGTTTAAGAAGCATTTTGAGGTAATTGAAACCTTTAAGGTTATTACAAGATAAAATAGAAAGGCTAGGGATCATGCATTTTAGATATTTAACCAATTAAAATAATTAACGACATTAATGACCAATTTAACAGATAAATAATTTTCGCCCAATTTGGACCTCATTTCATAACCTTATTTGAGCGAAATGAGTTTTGGGATCTCAATTGTGAATTTAGTGAAAGTATGAGACCTTATTCAATGGTTAGCCAAATTTTAAAATTTACAGTTTTGGCTAATTCTGAATACCAACTCGACTTAAAACGAAAAATTTTCAATTAATTAGCAGTAGTTTGGAATAATAAAAGTGATGACATGTTCCCAAAAAAAATTTGTTTGCCGACACAACAAGTATAATTGACTGAACTCTTCAATTATTAACTCTAAAATTCTAAATGGATGTTTAGTCAACAGTCACTTAGAGTTAACAATGTTAGCCCTAAAAAATTCTGTCTAATTATTACTTTATTTGAGAATTTCAATTACTTTGGTACTTTATTTGAGCAAAATAAAACTTTGAGACAATTATGAATTTAGTGAGAGTTTGCAACCTTGTTCATTACTTAAGCAATTAGCATATTTATTTAATTGGATGAATATATCTGCCGCCAAACAAGGAGTTCGAAAGGAATAAAATTATTATTTCAAATAGCTTATTCATTTATATAATATATATAGTTGTTTGTTTCTCATTTCCTTTGGTAATGGATGGTTTTATACCTCCTATATATGGTTGGAATTGGCAATTTAGTTTAAATTCTTTTTATTGTTTATTTATGCTTTCGAATTTTCTGTTGACAAACACTAGAAGCAGTATTTTTTATTCACATTATTTATTATGTTTCAGGACCTTAAATTACCAATTAATGGCGGACATAGCTGGGGCAATCATCAGTGCATTGAGTTGCATTTGTGGTACTCCAATCTGCAACTGTATAGATCAATATAGAAGTTTTAATGATGATGTGGGTGAGCTGAGAAGAGAATTGGACACTCTAACCAAACGAAAGGAAGATATAGAATCAAGAATAGAAGTAGGAGAGGCTTGCGGGGGAGAAATGGTTAGACGAGAAGTGAAAGATTGGCTTAAGCAAGTACAAGACATTAATGTTGATGTACATGCATTTTTAGAAGAGGTGCAGGGAATCAAGTGGTACGAGCGTGCCTGTCTTGACAAACTTGTTTGTAGAAAAATTGATGTGGTGAGGGAGATGCTTGAAAAAGGTAGTTTTCCTGGAGGCCTTTTTATTGACAGAGCTCCAGCTCGTGGAAACAGAATTCCAACAGAGAATTTAGTGGGGGAGATTTCTACTAAAGAAGAAATTTGGGGGTACTTGATAGGTGATGAGGTTGGAATGATCGGAGTTTGTGGGATTGGTGGAGTTGGAAAGACTACGATCATGAAGAATCTCCACAATGATTTACAGGGGGAGACTAGATTTCAGAAAGTCATTTGGGTTACTGTATCACATC